TTTAACGAGCTCCTGCTGCCCTTACACACCCCAGTGCTGGGGCTCATGGATGGGAGGTTCTGCAGCAAAGGGATGGATTAGTCCCACTCTGTGAGTGTTTTTGATATTATTGCATTTATTCTTTTTATCATTTTCCTATTAAATTATAATTCTGACTTGCGATCTCTCACTGGTTTGATTTCAAACTAGTACATATTTTGGCGCCCAACGTGGGGCATTAACCTGAGAGAAAGTCAGAATTGCAATTTCATATTAACAGAAACCTATCCACCATGGTGGTTGGCTTGTCTATATGGGTACTGTATCTTGCTCTCTATATTTTCCCTCACATGGGGAACTACTTGCCTGTTGTATTGCTCCTGTTGAGACCAGGGAATGGTATGAGAATTGCTTTATTGGTTTATTATGCTTATGGCATGATAACCTGTGAGGCAATGAATACCATTCGGAATATATACTCAATTTTGTTTGCTTGTCCTAGTCTGGGCTGCTACATCTGAGACCTTCTCAACAATCGCACCCTGCCCTTGGTGGGAAGAGTGGAGAGTGGTTTCTTCCAGCCTTTCAGGTCAGGCACAGCAGTTTTTAAAAATATTGAGTTCTCTCTGGATGCCAAGGACAGCCTAGTCTTGCTGTTTTGTTTTCTCTGCATGGCCTGCACCATGTACACCATGCTTAGAAACAAAGCACTGTTTGGTGTGGTACAGCGTCTTCTTGAGGAAGAAGAGAAAAGAACCAAGAGCAGAGCAACAGCATCCATGACCACACAGACTGCCACAGAGGAGAAAGGAAACCAAGAGCAAAGCCAACAGCATCCGTGTCCACTCAGACTGCCACAGAAGAGAAAAGAACCAAGAGCAAAACAACAGCGTCCATGTCTACGCAGACTACCACAGAAGAGAAAGGAACCAAAAGGGCCATGAGCACCTCCACACAAACAGTCACCGAACCAGAGCAGCCTAAACCGGTAGAAGTTGCCCCCATTCAGAAAAAGAAATCAAAAAGCAAATCAGTCCGCATAGTGACTGATGAGGGTGAGGCAGGACCTTCACACGCAGCGGAGGAGACAGAACCAGAGATTATCACTCGCTCTCTATCCCTAGGTGAGCTGCGTGACCTGCGGAGGGAATTCACCCGCCAGACGAACGAGTCCATCCTAACCTGGCTGCTCCGCATCTGGGACGCTGCAGCAAACGACACCATCCTGGATGGAAGTGAGGCCAGGCAACTGGGATCGCTGTCCCGGGATGTGGTCATTGACCAGGGGATTGGGAGAACCCAAGAAACTCTCAGCCTCTGGAGGCGACTGCTGACAAGTGTAAGGGACAGATACCTCTGCAAAGAAGACCTCCAGGTGCACCAGGGAAAATGGAGCACAATGGAACAGGGTATCCGATGCCTGAGGGAGTTGGCTGTGCTGGAGATCATTTTTGCAGAAGATGAGAGATTTCCTAAGAGCCCAGATGGTGTCCAGTGCACGTCACAGATGTGGCTGAGATTTGCACGGCTTGGACCAGAGATGTACTCCCGTTACCTGGCAACACTGCAATGGAGGGAAGGTGAGGACAGGGTGGGTGTCCTGGCCAATAAACTAAGAATCTACGAGGACACTGTCACTGCCCCGTTTCGCACCCATGTCTCATCTGTGGAAACAAGGCTGGCTGAGCAAGTCCGGAGCTTGATTGAAGAGGGCCATCAGAAACTAAAAAAGGAACTTAAGGAAGAAATTTACCACGTCTCCCCAGAACCAACAAGAGTCTCTGCTATTAGGAGTAGGCATTCCCCAGCCAGGGAGAAAGGATACACTCCACGAGGTAACCTCTGGTTTTTTCTCCAGGAGCATGGAGAAGACATGAGGAAGTGGGATGGAAAACCCACCTCCTCCTTAGCAGCCCGGGTACGTGAACTAAAAAGAGGGACAACTACCACAAGGAGCTCATCTAGAGCCAGCGCCGCTCCGGTCTCTCGTGGCCAGAACATCAGAAGGTATAGAAATGATGATATGAGTGATCCTCTTGAAGAGACATCAAGAGCATATTCACCGGAGGAGAGCAACGTGCACCATGACCAGGATTAGAGGGTCCCTGCCTCTAGCCAGGTAGAGGAGAGGGACAACCGGATCTATTGGACAGTGTGGATCCGATGGCCTGGCACATCTGACCCACAAAGATATACGGCTTTGGTTGATACCGGCGCTCAATGCACTCTAATGCCATCAAGGTATGTGGGAGCGGAACCCATTTCTATTTCTGGGGTGACAGGGGGATCCCAGGAGCTCACGGTACTGGAAGCTGAAGTGAGTTTAACTGGGAATGAGTGGCAGAAACACCCCATCGTGACTGGTCCAGAGGCCCCATGCATCCTCGGCATAGATTACCTCAGGAACGGGTACTTCAAAGACCCAAAAGGTTATCGCTGGGCTTTTGGGATAGCTGCTCTAGAGACAGAAGGCATCAGACAACTGAGTACCTTGCCTGGTCTCTCAGACAACCCTTCTGCTGTGGGACTACTGAGAGTTGAAGAACAACAGGTACCAATTGCCAGAGCAACAGTGCACCGTCGGCAATACCGCACCGACAGAGACTCTGTGGTCCCCATCCATACGATGATTCGTGAGCTGGAGAGCCAAGGGGTGGTCAGCAAGGCTCGTTCACCCTTTAACAGCCCCATATGGCCAGTGCGTAAGTCCAGTGGAGAATGGAGACTGACGGTGGATTACCGTGGACTGAATGAAGTCACGCCACCACTGAGTGCAGCCGTACCAGACATGCTGGAGCTTCAGTATGAGCTGGAATCCAAGGCAGCAAAGTAGTACGCGACCATTGATATTGCAAATGCGTTTTTCTCCATTCCTCTGGCAGCAGAGTGCAGGCCTCAGTTTGCCTTCACCTGGAGGGGTGTGCAGTATACCTGGAACCGATTGCCCCAGGGGTGGAAGCACAGTCCTACTATCTGCCATGGACTGATCCAGACTGTGCTAGAAAAGGGTGAGGCTCCAGAACACCTGCAGTACATTGATGACATCATTGTGTGGGGGAACACGGCAGCAGAAGTATTTGAGAAGGGACAGAAGATCATCCAGATTCTCCTGAAGGCTGGTTTTGCCATCAAGAGGAGCAAAGTCAAGGGACCTGCCCGGGAGATCCAGTTCCTGGGGGTAAAGTGGCAAGATGGACGGCGTCAGATTCCCACTGAAGTCATCAATAAGATCACTGCGATGTCTCCACCGACCAACAAGAAGGAAACACAAGCTTTCCTAGGTGCCATAGGCTTTTAGAGAATGCACATTCCTGAATATAGCCAGATTGTGAGCCCTCTCTACCTGGTTACCCGCAAGAAGAACAATTTCCATTGGGGCCCTGAACAGCAACAAGCTTTCGCCCAGATCAAGCAGGAAATCGCTCATGCGGTAGCCCTTGGTCCAGTCAGAACGGGGCCAGAAGTGAAAAACGTGCTCTACTCTGCAGCCGGGAACAATGGTCTGTCCTGGAGCCTTTGGCAGAAGGTGCCTGGTGAGACTCGGGGTCGACCACTGGGATTCTGGAGCCGAAGCTACAGAGGATCCGAGGCCAACTACACCCCAACAGAGAAGGAAATTTTGGCCGCCTATGAAAGAGTCCAAGCTGCCTCAGAGGTCATTGGTACTGAGCGCAGCTGCTTCTGGCACCCCGACTGCCGGTGCTGGGGTGGATGTTCAAGGGAAAGATTCCTTCCACGCATCATGCCACCGATGCTACTTGGAGCAAATGGATTGCCCTCATTACACAGCGTGCCCGTATTAGAAACCTGAACCGCCCTGGGATTCTGGAAATTATAACAAACTGGCCTGAAGGTGAGACTTTTAGATTATCTTCTGAAGAAGAAGAGCAAGTGACACGTGCTGAGGAAGCCCCACCATATAATGAGCTACCGGAGAGTGAAAGACGATATGCCCTCTTCACCGATGGTTCCTGCCGAATTGTAAGCACTAACCGGAAATGGAAAGCTGCTGTATAGAGCCCCACACGACGAGTTGCACAAGCTACCGAGGGAGAGGGTAGATCGAGTCAGGTCGCAGAACTTAAAGCTGTCCAGCTGGCTTTAGATATTGCTGAAAGAGAGAAGTGGCCGAGGCTCTATCTCTACACTGACTCCTGGATGGTAGCTAATGCTCTGTGGGGATGGCTGGATCGCTGGAGAAAAGCCAACTGGCAGCGCAGAGGGAAACCCATCTGGGCCGCTGAGATTTGGCAGGACATCGCCGCTCGGGTGGAGAAGCTGATCGTGAAGGTTCGACACGTAGATGCTCATGTACCCAAAAGTCGGGCTAATGAAGAGCACCGTAACAATGAGCAGGTGGATCGAGCTGCCAAGGTGAAAATATCACAGGTGGATCTGGACTGGCAGCACAAGAGAGAATTATTTTTAGCTCGTTGGGCCCATGATGCCTCTGGTCATCAGGGACGAGATGCAACGTACCGATGGGCTCGTGAGCGAGGGGTGGACCTTACTATGGACAGCATCTCACAGGTTATCCACAACTGCGAGACCTGCGCTGCAATCAAACAGGCCAAGCGGTAAGCCTCTGTGGTACGGTGAAGTATGGTCCAAGTACAGGTGGGAAGCCTGGCAAATTGACTACATCACCCTTCCCCAAACCCGCCAAGGCAAGCGCTACGTGTTGACCATGGTGGAAGCAACCACTGGATGGCTGGAGACATACCCTGTGCCTCATGCTACTGCCCGGAACACCATCTTGGGCCTGGAAAAGCAAGTCCTTTAGAGACATGGCACCCCTGAGAGAATCGAGTCAGACAACGAGACGCATTTCAAGAACAGCCTCGTAAGTACTTGAGCCAGAGAACATAGAATTGAATAGATCTATCATATCCCTTATCATGCACCAGCTGCTGGGAAAGTTGAACGGTGCAATGGACTACTCAAGACTACCCTAAAAGCACTTGGTAGAAGAACCTTCAAAAATTGAGAAGTGAACTTAGCAAAGGCCACCTAGATAGTTAACACCAGAAGATCCATCAATCGAGCTGGTCCTGCCCAGTCTGAACCCTTGCACACGGTGGATAGAGATAAAGTCCCTGTGGTACACATGAGAGGTATGTTAGGAAAGACTGTTTGGATTAATCCCACCTCAGGCAAGAGCAAACCTATCCGTGGGATTGTCTTCGCTCAAAGACCTGGTTGCACTTGGTGGGTAATGCGGAAAGATGGGGAAACCCGATGTGTGCCACAAGGAGACCTCATTTTAAGTGAGAACTGTGTGTAAGGTTCCATTGTATATATATATATATATGTGTGTGTGTGTGTGTGGAGTTTAAGGAAGGTACTGATTTGGAATTATGTAGATGGTAATAGAATAAGGGGTGGATTATGTCCTGGGTTGCAGTATATTCTATCACCATCCTCATGTACTGTTGAAACCAGGTGAGGCAGTGCTCCCTGCCTCCCCGCCCCCCCGAGCTACCTTCTGTTAATGGGCCCATCAATGCCCTGCCCCATGACTCATAGATAACTTCCCCCTGTATTGTCCCCTGTTAATGGGCCCACCACTGCCTTGCTGCATGACTCAGAGATAACTTCCTCCTGGACTGTTTTCTGTTAATGGCTCATCAAGGCCTTATCTCATGACTCACCATCCCATTGTGAGATGCTCCTCCCCGAGGGAGGAGCCAAGCATTCCATACTGGATATAAGCTGAGAATTCGAACACCACAGCAGCCCTTACCTACGAGACTTCCAGAGGACAGGAGCTACTGCTAGATTTTCAGCGGAAGACCAGACCCCCTTTCTTCCAGAGGATCACGCTTCAACAAGACCACCTCATCTAGACGACTACCATCACCCTAACAAGGTTCCAGGCTGTATTCTGACTCTGTCAGTGTTTTTGATATTATTGCATTTATTCTTTTTATCATTTTCCTATTAAATTATAATTCTGACTTGCGATCTCTCACTGGTTTGATTTCAAACTAGTACAGTGAAGAAAAAGGTGTGAGAAACATGAGAGGAAAGAAGTGAGAACCATGAGGAGAAAAGTGAGAAACATAAGGAGAAATTTTGAGAAGGAAAACTGGGATAAGGAGAGAACCCAGAGGGGAGAAAAAGGTGGGAAATGTGAGAGGAAAAGTGTGAGGAACATGAGGTGAAAAGGCTGGGAATCATGAGTAAAAATGATCAGGAGAAGTGTCACAGTCTTGGTTGGGAAGGGGTGAAAATGTGAGAGAGAAAGCACAGGAAATGTGAATGGAGAAAAGGGCAGGAGAAAAGGCACTATTGACAAAAGAGCTGTAATAATTCCAAACCCATTCCCCCATACATTTGTCCATTTATTGGACAAGCCCAGGGCTGCTCTGTGTGTCCGTCTCTACCTCTGCCTTAATTCCCCTTTGGAAGCGGTGGAACTGGCCGGATCTGTGTCGCTAGAGGACACAAAGTGGAGCACGAGGGTTTGAATCACGAAACAGCCAGAGGTTTATTTCATGAGGCAAAAGCCCTTAAAGCCCTTATTTTGGGGTTTTTCAACCCTTTTTATAAGGTGTTCCAATACAGGTTAGCCTGACTGGTAGAAGAAACAACAGCTCCCTCATCCCATTGGTGGGACAAGAGAGAAACACTCTCAGAACATCTGTATGATTTTTTTGAGAAACTAAAACCTTGTTTTCACTACAGTCCTTGAGAGAGAAGAAAGTTCTCAAAAGACTTTCCCTTGGGAACAGATCAGCCCCTGAGAGCTTGAAACTGTCTCAGGTTCAGAAAATCATGTCCACAGATCTGCCCACCAGCAGCAGCTGCTCCAAGCTGGGAACGTGACTGGCGGTGCTGATTTCCAGAGGCTTCTGTCCCCCAGGTGAAGCCAAGGCAGGGCAGGGTTGAAAAGCGCTGCTGGTGCTGGTGCTGGTGCTGCTGGTGCTGCTGGTGCTGGTGCTGGTGCTGGTGCTGCTCTCTGTGCCAGAGAGCCCCGGCTGGGCAGGGCACGGTGCCCACGCACTGAGGGCTCTTCCTCCTGCTGGGCACACCTGGGAACAAGTCATGATGACTTGTGGGAAAAACAAGAGCTTTGTGGGGGCTGCACTGCTCCTCACACACTCAGGCCACCTACGGCACAGAGCTTTGGCCCCCAAAAAGGTAAACCAGAGGGAAACAGCTGGAAAAGGTTTCATTTCAACCTTTCTTACCTGCTCAACAGAAATGGCCAAAATGAAAGTTACCAAGCAGGGTGTGATCCCCACATCCAGCTTAGAAACAGTTAGAAAGAAGGCAATACTGTATTTCTGCACTGGCTGTGTGGGAAATCCCTTCCCTAACTTGTGCACACCCAGCAATCTCACCTACTCGTTTGTATCCATGGAACTAAGACATACTCAATACTTTGCTGAAGCTCACAGGCTAAACATTCCCCTAAATTATTTGACATATTTAAATCTCATCTCAGAATTTATCAACATGAGAGTAGGGCTGTCCTGAGGGTCTCTGGTCTCATTGTCATAGGTTCAGGAGGAGACCCATGCACAAAAGAACGCAAGACTCAGATGGGGTTGCAAAGCAAATTTATTCTATTAGTTGCAGTAGCAAATACTGCATACCAACCCCAGCATTCCCAAAAACCCGCTGAGCGGGAGAAGGAGCTGAAGCATCGTCCTCAGCGGGAGGGCAGGTAGGCAGTGCCCTTTCAGGACATCCCCTGCATCAAAACAGTGTGCACCTCGTCCTTCTCACCTCTCCACCCCAGACGCAGGCCTTATGTCTCCTGCTCAGGAGTGGCATTTTCCCAGTTCCAGCATCAGCTCCCACAGGGCCAGCATGAGATGAGGCCACAATGGCTCAGAATAGCGACTCCAAGCCAACAAGGCCTCCATTATGCATTGTTCCTCTTTCAAAAGTTAACTGCCCACCTACTGACCAATACATTGCTTCTCTTGCAAGGGTCAAGTTCCCACCCCTTAAACGATACAGTTTTCTTCATTGTCTTGTCAACCTGCTCAAACATGGATCAAATGTGGCAGGGCCTCAAACACGACTGCAGTCCCTGACACAATCTTTTGGAAACACCCGTTCCTCATCTTCTCCTCTGGATGTCAAGAGATTCCTAAAACCACTTTCTTCCTGTGAATGCATTCCAGCTACCTTCTTACCAGGACCACTCTCTTTATTCTCAAGGCTAAGATAGCCACTTGCAGACATGAATCACTGCAGTGGGGGAATACAGGGTTCAGCACTGTTTGTTAAAGCTAATGGAATTCACGAGCCCTATTTGTTACAGTTCAACACCTCTGCTTCCTTTTCTGGGAATTCAACACAAATGGCCAAAATGAAAGTTACCAAGCAGGGTGTGATCCCCACATCCAGCTCAGAAACAGTTAGAAAGAAGGCAATACTGTATTTCTGCACTGGCTGTGTGGGAAATCCCTTCCCTAACTTGTGCACACCCAGCAATCTCGCCTATTC